TGACTCAATAATGGAGTCTAAAAAAAGGAAGCCATTTCTAATGGAACACAATATATATATATATATATATATATATATATATATATATATATATATATAATTTATTTACCTACAGGATAGGCAGATGTTTCAGAGAAGATTCTATGTATACTGATTATTTAAAGAGGGTGTTTGACATGAACAATTTATTTTCTTGACATGTATTATTTTTTTTTAAGGTAAAAAAATAACCAAGTTTTTAAAAAGAAATCACAAGTTTGTTCCACTACAATTAATCACTTCAAACATATTTTAAGATGTGAGTGGAGAAAAGTCAAATAGTTTTTCATGGCTGTTTGAATGTCAAACCCCTATCAAAGAAAAGTTGGGAACATAATTGGATTAAGCTATATGAAATAAAGATTGTGATATAGAAGAATTCTGTGAAAAAAAAGGGGATTCAAATATAAGGGATGTCAAATGGAAGATCTTAAGAAAGAAGAGGATGTGATTCCCACTTATTCCGAACATTGAGAATTAGGTGGGTCAAATATTATTTGGGCACCACACTCGTAAGGACTAAGTCAAGATTCCAATTGGTTGATATTGTAAAGAGCATTAAGTGCAGTCAAAGAAATATATTTTTGTATATGCATATGCTTTTGTAGGATGGTGTAATTGCTTATACATACATATGTATGTAATGTTAGACTGCAGTTTTGCATCAATTCCATGATTACTGCATGCAGAACACATTTATGGATCTTTCTTTGTTCAGACTCCAATTCAATTGCTTCATGCAGTGTTCATGTTGAAGGAAAACATTAATCTCTGTGCATAAATACAAAACCACATGAACTCACATCCACTCTTTCTGTATGGTGATTAAGTTGTGTTTGAGCACATAGATCTGAAAATGATTGACATCTACAGAACCAAAACAAAAAAAGGAGCTTTCATCTTTTCAACCACTTAGCTTCCCCCAAAAAAGTAGAAAATATGTCTTCTTCTGATCCAAGGCAGCATTATCTTGAAGAATCCATGAAAATGAAAACATAAAAATGATCATGTACTAGTTGATCATGTATAATTGGTACTGAGGGAGTGGATTAGATGATGTAAACATAAAAATAATCAAAACATTTGCCACTTTGAAACTGAGTAACCTATTTAGTGATCCTGTTTCTGAACTAATAATTGCTTGTTGATCTACAGAAGTCAACTCTAGAATAGAGCACCAAGTCAACTGTAGAACAGAGCAATGTACTTGAGTGGCAAAGTGATAACATCTTATTGCAAGTGAAGGGTGTTAATAAACAAATCTAAATATAAAATAAATATGATATATATCTAAGGTATTTGATTTTAAAATATGACTTTGATATCAAGTGTAACTATAAAAATTATAATTATATTATTTTATAAAAAAACTTTAATACTAGAAACTGATAGATCAAAGATTATGATTGCGTATCTTTTGATGCTCTTTAACAAATTTTTATCTGATTGCAAGTAGATCATTGTAAAAAAACAATGATGTTGATCGGCAGGAAAGATTAAACTCGTCTTCTCTTTTTTTTTTTCCGAAATCGTATGAGAGAAGATAGAGTTTTTTTTTTATCGAAATAATCGGAATCCTATTAACTTACTTTTTATTAATCGATAATTATAATCAAAAATTTAATTAGATATATACTTATCTTACGTAATTAGATCTATACGGGTCAATCAAATGACTATTTGCCCTCGTCAATCAAATGTGTTTGGGTCAACAAGCCAATGTTATTCTTCCAGCCTTCAAACTCATACAGATCACAAAGATGACTATTTGTCCTATTTCTTTTCCCTTTCTTGAGGTTAATAGGTAGAAATGTTTATACGGGAGCTCTCGTCATCACTACCCTCTTCTGTTGCTCCCTCATCTCCCTTCCTTGCCACTTCGTAAGCACAGTACTGTTGATGACGTGGCACATGCATGCATGAATCACTTCCTCCATTGTTACGTAAGTACTGAGAATTGCTTTCCCATGGAGACCAGTGACTCCAAAAGTTGAGTAGAAGAATTGGATACCGATGGATGGGAAAGTAGGATATGATAAGCTTCATTTTTCCATGAAACGACAGGCACGGACTCATCTCCTTAATTTCCACTACGATGCAGACGGATACCGTCTCGTTGTGGAAGAAAGATGGACTTTTATGATTCCAGGCGGCTCTCTTTAGCCACGTTAAGCCTGAAATTTTTCGCACCGCTATCGTCTATAAATACCCAAGCTATGATCTCAGAGTCTAGGAAAAGAAGAGGAAGGCGATCGAGTAGAATGAGGTCCTCAAACTCAGCTTTGGCTATGCTCTTCGCCGTGGCTCTTGCCATGGCCTGCACCAGTGCCCTAGCCCAGAACTCGCCCCAGGACTTCGTGAGCCCCCACAACGCCGCCCGCGCCGCCGTCGGCGTCGGCCCCGTGTCGTGGGACAACACCGTCGCGGCGTACGCCCAGAACTACGCCAACCAGCGGGCGGCCGACTGCCAGCTCGTGCACTCCGGCGGGCCGTACGGCGAGAACATCTTCTGGGGCTCCGGTCGCGACTACACGGCGGCAGACGCCGTCAACGCCTGGGTCTCCGAGAAGCAGGACTACGACTACAACAGCAACAAGTGCGCCCCTAACAAGGTGTGCGGCCACTACACGCAGGTTGTGTGGCGTTCGTCCACGGCCATCGGGTGCGGCCGTGTGCGCTGCAACAGCGGCGCCATCTTCATCATCTGCAACTACAAACCTCCGGGCAACTATGTGGGGCAGCGCCCTTACTAAGATCACTCAATAACTACAAGAATAAAACACTGTGTTCTAGGGATACGAACATGGTGCATGCCATGACAATAAATGTGACTTGAGAAGGAGATACATGGATGATGCTTAGATGAAATCAGCTTTGTCGAACATGATACATGGTACGTACATACATATTATAGCACATCTATCAACTTTGGGTAGTATACTTTACTTGATCAAAAGTAGACAAGTATAGATATACACACAACTTGAATTCTTG